TAATTAATATTTAAAATAATTTTATTATTGTTATAAAGATAAATATAAATTATTTTTTTATACATACAATATAGATGTTAAATCGAAGCTCATCAAAAGAAGATTAATTTGATATATTACATATGTAAAACTGATAAAAGATACAAAAGTTATTAACTTTTAAAAAATATATATATATACAATTCAATAGTTATAATAATGAATGATATTAAAATACAATTAATACATGTAACATGACCATAAATAATCAACATATTTATGGTAATCCGAACTTAATTATTTTTTGTTTGAAATTAAATTAAAATTTACCCAAGCCTAATAACGAAGCATGTAATTCTGCCACATATGATTCCGAAATATTTTTTTCCTCATCAGACTTCAGCTCATCGTCTCCTCTACTTCTCCACCATCTCCATTCTCCACAAAGTCCAAACCAGAGATCGTAGCTCTAAACGAAATGTCGAAATATAGTAAATTCTAACATCATCTTCTCCAATCACACACTCCAATTCTCCAATCGCCACGATCGGTGCTTTGAAGCCTCAAATCGCCGCCGCGCTCGTTGCTCAGAAACTCCAAATCTTACACTCCACTCAGCAATCGAGGAAGCTTGTCTTCTCAAATAAGATTGCCACTCAAATCCCCTACTACGGGCTTCCTCGATTGAACCAATTCAAGCTTTCAAGGCAGCTTAAATTTATTTCTTTCATCTTTTACTCTATTGAATTTTTTTTTTTTTAATTTTTTGTTAATTCACTGCGATTTGAAATTAGAATTGAGATTTGTTGAGATTGTAAATAAGGATTTTTTTTATCGGATAACCGATAATCAAACTGATCCGACCGATAGATTTTTGGTTAAAAACCGAACCGAACCATAAATATCGGTTCGATTTTCGGATTGAAAGTTGGGCAAACCGAAATTTCGGTTCGGTTCGGTTTTGACCGATTGAACAACCCTAGTATATTTGTTGTTGACCCAATGAAAAGGCCCATATATTTGGGCCTAAATTTTTATTTTTATTTTTGTAAAAATTTGGTTAACCGAACCGAATTATTCGGTTCGGTTGTATTTCGGTTTTAAGAAATATTTCGGTCGGTTCGGTATTCAACATATAGCGATTGGTTAATTCGGTTTTTGTAGTTCGGTTTGGTCGGTCGACCGAACCGACCGATGAACACTCCTAGTTGTGATGTGTGGTTTTCGCCTTTCAGTTTTCAGTATCGATGGGGTTTAATTCCCAAACGGGTCGGGTAAGTGGGAATGGGTCACTAAATAACATTTTATTTGGGTAAGATGTTTGGATACAAAACTACTCGAAAAAATCCAAATATTTTTTATTTAATTATTTTTTTAATTCAACTTTAATTCAATTTCATTATCATCAATATAAATTAAATAATATCATACACTCACATAATTTTAGGACATGCTTGTTTATCAATTATTTCACTCATATTTAATTCATACTCAAAATTTAAATCAAATTTAACTCAGCTCTATTATCTTTAATATTATTCAGAAAATTAAATAATACAAACCAATCATTCTTACACATCACATCAACTTTAATTCATTATTTATCCACTTACATAATTTTAACTATCTATCATTTCCAATCATTTATCTCATACTTCTTCATCAAATCAATTTTAAATTTTATGTTAATACATTCTTAAAATTCTACTAACAACTAACCATACAACATTTTTCAAAATTAACTCTGGTTAACCAAAATAACTCATTTTGGACAAATTATTTTGTAAACAAGCAAGCTCTTAACTAACAATCACTTCAAATCATTTCTTTCCTACTTTTACATCAAATCAACTTTTGTTATTTTTTTCTAAGTATTATTTTAATATAATCACTAACAAATAATCATATCAACCTTTTCAAAATTAACCAAATCAAACCAAAAAAATCCAAACAAAATCTTATATCCAAGCATCCCGAGTTGTTGATTATGAAGACAATTTGGTTGATGATTCTTATTTCCTATGTTGGACTAGAAAAAAAAAAGATTTAATCATCTATTAATTTTGGTTAAAAAAAAATTATTTAACAACTAAATATATTTAACCACAATGTAATTATATGATATTAGTTAAAAATACTATAATATAAGGTAATTATATGATATTAGTTAAAAATACTATAATATAAGATGCTTAAGTAGCATTGGTGATAGTATCATTTTAAATAAAATAATAATCATATATTTAGAAAAAAAAAAAACATTTAAAATTTAAAACATAATATCTTTTATTACTTTTTCAATTTATGTATACATTTGTAACAAGCACCCGCATAACACACGAGTATTGTACTAGTAACTTTTAAATTTAAATATTTTTTTTAACAAGCACCATGTAGTACTGTACTTGTATGTGTGAAACGTTGTCCATTAATTTGTATAGTGTGAATACAATGGAAGCACCGACATGCTGATAAATCAGAACTAAATTTTGTAATAGTAACACTTAGTGTATATCTTTGGTCATCTCAACGCTATTCAATTGGGGTCAAATGCTCGACTGAGGTTTGATGTAGTTCGATGAGGATTGCCGCTTGGGGTCAAATGCTCGGCTGAGGCTTGATGTAGTTCCATCTAAGGTTGGCCCAATGCTCTTTGGTTTCAAGATTTTTCTCAAAGAAGACTTCACTGGTATGCTTTATACCACTAACGCGTATCATGAATGTGACAAGGATGATTATAATTTTTATCCGAGCTGTGATGAAAAGGTAACTAAAGCTAACTAATTTTGGTCATTTTTTTGTATTTTTTCTAATTTTAAATTCATTTAATTGTTTGTCCAGGGTAATCTTGTATCACTCAACCAATCATTGATGAGAGTGAGCTACATATTAGGGGGTTAGAGGTACTTGGCTACATTACTCTCTCACTATTAAAACATCAATAAATATATATACCATAACCTTCTTACTTGTTAGACTTTATTGCATTCACATGCGACATGTTTGTTCTTTATTTTCAGATATTTAACCTTCTTACTTGTTAGACTTTATTGCATTCACACGCGACATGTTTGTTCTTTATTTTCAGATATTTAAAAATGAGTTTGTTGAGGATTATGTTAGGGTTATGGCGGGTATATAAAGGAATATATATGTACAGTGGTTCTTTTTTTTAATTATTTTGATATGATATACATTTTTCATATATAAAGGAGATATGTTGATTTATAGGCTTTTCCTCACACTATTTCATCCTCTTCATTCCTTCCTTACTCACATAAGCTACTTGTGTATTTCAGTTATGAAAATTGTTGAAGATGAGATCAATGAGTTGCTCTCGGGACATTAAACATCAGTCGTATATGTGTTGTATATGTGTTCAGAACCTGCTAAAAACCTTGTGGATAAGTTGAGATTTTGATTGATGTACCTATGTAGTTGTGCATGCTAAAATTTACTAAAAGTGTCTGTGAATCTGTTGTTTTGTCGGCTCTATTGCAAAAATTACTTTTGTTGTGAGGAGTCAACCTATGGAACTCGGTTGTGAATCTGTTGTTATTCCAAACTTACTTTTGTTGTGAGTAGTCAACCTATGGAACTCGAATTATGAATCCCCAGCCGAGTGTTCCATAGGTTGACTATTCACAACAAAAGTAAGTTTGGAATAGAGCCAGGAAAACAACAGATTCACAACCGAGTTTCATATGTTGACTACTCACAACAAAAGTAAGTTTTGCAATAGAGCCGACAAAACAACATATTCACAGCCACTTTTAGTAAATTTTAGTTATGCACAACTACATAGGTACATCAATCAAAATCTCAACTTACCCACAAGGTTTTTAGCTGAACACAACATATACGACTACATATACGACTGATGTTTAATGTCCTGAGAGCAGCTCATTGATCTCATCTTCAACAGTTTTCATAACTGAAATACACAAATAGATTGTATGAGTAAATAAGGAATGGAGAGGATGAAATAGTAAGAGAAAAAGCCTATAAATCAACATATCTCCTCTATATATGAAAAATATATCATATCAGAATATTGAATAATTGGAAAAAACTAAAAAAAAAGAACTACTGTACATATATATATTCCTTTACATACCCGCCATAGCCCTAACATAATCTTCATCGAACTCATTTTTTAATATTTGAAAATAAAGAACAAACATATCGCATGTTAATATAATCAAGTCTAACAGGTAAGAAGGTTAGAGTATATATATTTATTGATGGTTTAATAATGATAGAGGGAAATGTAGCCAAGTAACTCTGACCCCGTAGCTCACTCTCGTCAATGATCGGTCCGGGTCCGGGTGATATAAGATTACCTTGGACAAACAATTAAATGAATTTTAAATTAGAAAAAATACAAAAAAAGTCCAAAATTAGTTAGCTTTAGTTACCTTTTCATCACAGCTCAGGATAAAAAATATAATCATCGTTGTCACATCCATGATATGCGTTAGTAGTATCCAGCATACATGTGAAATATTCTTTGAAAAAAATCTTGAAACCAGAGAGCATTGGGCCATCCTTGGATGGAACTACATCAAGCCTCAGCCGAGCATTTGACACTGCTGATTAATTCCTGACATACAATTGCTATTCAAGTGCATATTAATAGCAAAAACTGAAGTAGACGTTGAATTAAGTGACTTGTTGATTCTACCATCTGTTGTTAACTTTTAATAAGGCATGAGTCATGATAAAGATTGGTCACAAATTATAGAAAACGTATTCATGCTCGTCATTGTGGAAAAAAAAAATATGAATGAAAATGACTGCTTGAAAGCAAAGAGAAACACCAACCAAATTTAAAATATTCATGCCCAAAAAGCACATTTTTCAGGTAGGATCTCAATAACAAGAAGACCAACAAGACAAATAAACACAGAAACAAACAGAACAACACAAAAACTGAACACATCTCAAAGTTCTATAGACACATACCTTCAACAGAAACCAAGAAATCACCAGATCACATAACCACACACATGAAGTACATGTCATGGAAGTCTTGGTTTGGCGTCCCAAGCCTCTCTCGCTTCCAGCAGATACGGGCAGTACCTCTGCGCCAAGACCTCTACCTGCTCAGCAAACGGCTTATGCCCATTCCGCCCCAATTGCAAAGCCATCTGATTCCAACGCTTTCGGCACATATCCCCATCTCTTCCCTCCACAACACCATCCCACTCCACATCCTCCACGCAGCTCGCATCCAGCCTATAAAGCCTGCCAATCAGGCGGTAGTCGTCTGAGTCAGCCCACATGCCCTGGGCCACCATGGACGAGGTCAGCTGGTTATACCACTTGAAACAGCAACGGGGCGCAGAACGGGTTGACAGCTCATCACTAATTGTCGTCCAGCAGATATTGTCACGCAGCATCCCGTGCATGGACTTCTTCTCTTCCCGAGACTTCGCCTGTAGGTCAATGTTCACGAGGTCAAACAGTTTCTGGTACTCGTCCTAAGACCAGTGCCCTTTCTTGCGGTTCACCAATCTTAACCACAGCCAGGTGTCCCTCACATGTTTCATGTGCTTGCCGAGCTTATCCCCCAGCTTCCTCCATTGCCTGTCGTGCTCCTCACAGAACTTAAGGACCTCCTCGTACTCTTCCTCACTCCATTTGCGATTCTCAGACCTGCGGAATAGAACATGGGCACGCGTGTAGACGGCAGAGGTAGGTCTGTGTGGCATGGAAGACCCGATTTCTTTCCAACAGCCCCTCACCTTGCGGTGCTTTTTACAGTCGAGGACCACGTCCAGGCCTTCGTCACCTAAGTTGTGACTCAGTATGTAGTCGTTAACAGCAGCTTTGACGATCTCGTACTCTTCAGGCGTGAACCGCCTACCTCTAACTAGATTATCTCTCTCCACAGTCCCTTTGGTTGGATTTGAATTGACTGGAGAGGGAAAAATTTCAACGTGATTAGAAAAACTCACTTTCTTCTTACTTTTTCTGGGTGTAGCATCGCTCGACTCATTCTCCACTGGTTTGGTCATTTTCATTTTTCTTTTTTTTTTTCTCATGTTCAGCACCATTATCTCTCAACTCCTCAGAAGCATCTACCATTACTTGAGTACATTTCTTCTTCTTCTTTTTCTTCTTTTTCTTTTTGGTTGCGTGTTTTACCTCATTACTTTGCATCTCATTCGTACGCATATGACCATTTCTGTCAGTTTCTGCATTATTTTGCTGAGCAGCAGGTGAATAGTCCTTCAAATGTTCTTTCTTTTTCTTCTTTCTTTCCTTCTTTCTCTCAAGTTCTTCTGCAGCATAGCCATCATCATGTTCATTCGACTCAATTTTTCCTTCAACATTATCTGGCACGCATTCTTGTTGCACACAAGGAAAATCACCCTCGTCATTCATAGCTTCACCAGAAGTGTCACGTGACCAGTTGTCATCTTTCATGTCCTCTTTTTCCTTTTTCATTTTCTTCCTTTCGGCCTTCCCTGCATCATCACCTTCCAAATTCTGACTATGTTGCCCAGACTCTTTTATATGTTTCTCTCCCTCCACCTCAAAATCTACTTCATCATGTTTTCTTTTTGATTTCTTCTTCTTCCTCTCCTTGTTATTATCTTCAGTACTCTTCTGTTCGGAATTACTTTCTCCATCCAGCTTTCGCTCAACCTCACTCTCCTGAACATCTTTAGCATTGTTCATTTCAGTCCTATTCAACTCCCAGTTCTTGTTCTTGCTTTTCTTTTCAAGATTCATCATTGCACCTCCACTGTCATCCTCACCATGGTCCACATGTAGTTCCCTTTTTTCCAAACCTTCATTGTAAGCCTCAGCAACTTCACCCCACTTATTTTTCTTCTTCTTCATTTCCTTTTTCTGATTACTATGCTCTCCAAATGTATCGTCTTTTCCAGATAATGAAGCCCGAACTTGCTCGATCGGCTTTACAGCACTAGAATTCTGAGTATCTCTTGTTCCCATGAGTCTTTATTTGTTCTCATCAGGATTCGTTTTCTTCGGCTTAATCCCCCTTTATATGTCCCTGGTCACACATCTCTTAAACTCATTTCTTCAGCCATATTCCAAAAAAAAAAAANCCAAAAAAAAAAAAGGAAAAAAGAAAAAAAAATCAGAAAATCAATAGCTGAAGAACATTTCAACCAATCAAAGAATGAAACAGTTACATTAACATGATAAAATTAGAGTCCTAAACCTTCACACAAACTAGGTTTCATACTAAAATAGAGTTAAGAACAAGAAGAAAGTGACAAATCCCACTATTAAATAGAAACAAAATGACACATTACAACAATCAAAAGCCCAAACAAACAAAGGAAGAACTGAAAATATCATGTAAAAATAGCCACAGAAACACAAAAATTCAGGTGCAAGGACATCAATTTTGTTGCTGAAGAACTATTAGTAAGAGCAAATCCTGACAAAAAAAAAAAAATATATATATATATATATTCACAGGGAATTTCAGATTAAGTCATCAAGCAAGTGGTGTTTGAAGAACGAAAACCTACCTATTTGGAGCTCCGATCGCTCAGCCAAGTTCGTCGTGCCGGCGACATCTGCCGATCGGAGATGGACCGCCGACCGAGGGATGATGTTATTTATTTCTGCTCTTCACTATTCTGTCGATCTCCTCAAATAACTTGATTGGGCCTTTCGTGTGTAAATGGTATGCTGGACTTGATCTTTGGAATAGTTTAAAATAGTTTTGGGCCTTGAAAATCTGATAGAGGGCGAGAGGCCTTCCATTTGCCGGCCAGCCGAGTGGGTATCGAGCAAAAGCAGTGTAGCTTGGAAATGAATTCAAGTAACATGTGATGATATTAGTTATTTTCGTTTGATAAATGATAATTTAATTTACTTTAATATGTAAATGATTTCTCCCTTATACATATAAGAAAAAGTATGAGCAATTGTAGACTTGACACATGGCCGACTTTTTTGGACAAAAATGCCCCCTGCAATTAGTACCTTTTTGCACACATGCCTCTCTTTGCTGCTTTATCTCACAATCCATCATTCCCAATTCTTCTCCCACCAAATCCTACCGTCGCAGAAAATCAGCTTCAAGCTTTCTTTTACTTTTTCTTCTTTCCCAGAAATCACTCGCTTTTCTTTGTTACGTTTTCTTTTTTCCGCCATTATTATGCTTTCTTTTCCTTTTCTTCTTTCCGAGTTACAGAACCTAACCTCTATCTCTCTCTATTTCTCAACTCTTGTTGGCAAAATTAAAAAAACACCGGCGGCGGCGGCGCTAGCACAGCGAGCGGAACCGGCAAGCGGTGAAAGGCATGGTGATGCAACGAAACGGTGAAAGACGAGCGAATGCGTGCGGAGGCACGTCAAGTGGGACGGCTGAGCGGTCATTCGACCCAAACCACCGATTTGAGCTTTGGAGGTACAACTACAAATCCTCCGGCGAGAATCGAGATTGACACGCCGGTGCCTTTAGACTCCGTGAAAGAGGCAGAGAGAGCAGCTTCGGCAGCACGAATTTCTGGAAACCAACCTCGCACAAACCGTCTGAGCATACGTCTGAGGTTGTCTGGGGGCTCGCCGTGAATTCTGAGAAGAGTGTTCCCAGAAAATTGGAAAGTGTTGGGTTGAGGTTTGCCGATGAAGGCAGAGAGTTGAGAGGATGAGGTTGTAAGCGAGCGGATTGGATTTCGTTGTCTCTTCCTTTTATTGTCGGGAGTTTTGCGGAAGTTGTGTTGTAGATTCCCTTGAAAGTATCTTTCATCGCATAACGAGGTCACAAATATTTGAGAATTTCAACTTAATTGTTGTTTTCTCTCTGCCATTAGGTCATTCATGGAAATTG